TTTTTTTTTTTTTTGGCTGCTTTGCATTTTCCTTGGTAGTGATACCTCTCTGAGATGGTTCATCTTCAGGCTTCAGTGACGGAATGAGGTGAGCTGAGACAACTAACATTTTGCACTGTTAAAGTACTTGATAAGGACGAGATAGTTCAGGTTATTGCTTGTGGGCTTAATCTGTTAACACCAGCAAGCAAATATTTTATGTTTTTTGTAGGTTTTTAAAAGTCAAAGTTAATTACCCAGGATCTTACTTTGTTGGCTTTTTGTTTTTTTATTAAACTTCATAAACCTACAATTCCAATTTTCATGTCCATTGTTAAAAGCTGGTAATACTTTTTACATTTTTTCCTCTCTGTAATAAGGCGGTTATTAGAAAAGTTGGAATTTTTCTTGATCTTTTTTTGCAGAGCTGTGTTCTAATAGAAGCACAAGGCAGATTCTGCTTAAGCAACACTCCTCAGTAGCCACACACAATGTTTTCTTTCATATTAACTGGCTGTAACTTTAACTTGAATTTCATTAGCACAGGTTGCTCAAAGTTGTTAAAATGAATTTTAACAAAGCCATCTAGCCCTCTCATTTGATTTGCAGGTATTTTATTTATTTATTTTTGGCACTCTTAAAGTTGGGCAATGTGATGAACATTTGCTTATCTGAATATATATTTTTATATGTGTGTGTGTAAACCCCCAATTTTTTTTATTTCTTCAGGTTTTCTAAAATGCTGAATATGGGCTACTGTTAGTAATATAAAGGAGAAAAGAATAAAATTATTTAATAAGTTTTAATATGTCTTGTGTATATGTACACAGGAATTCTAAGATTTCTGTCCTGAGGGGTGTGCCAGAGAACAGCGGATTCACTTACAGTGTAAAGGGACAAGAGAGTTAAGGATCCACGGGAACCAAAAACTACATGAGGCTCAGAGAGATAAAGCAAAATCCCCACAATCACTTAAAAGAGAAACATATTCTTGGGTTTCAAACTCCCAAATCAGCCCCAAAGCCCAAATTCACTCTACCCTGCCAGAAAACTTTTGTGAATTCTCCAAACTCAGTACACGTCAGGTGATGTTATAACCAGAGTAATGGAATGTTCCTTGAGTTAGGAAAACAGCAGAGCAGAACATCCCAACTGGTCTCTTCCATCCCTCTGGTCTGAGAAGTCCTGCCTTGTCGAACCCCTCCACCTGTTCCATGGGTCTCTGCTATGCCAGTTCTCCAACATCTTTAATCTCATTCTCCAAATACCTATTAAACACCATCTACGTGCCAGTCCCGAGGCTAGGTATTAGTGACACAGTGATAATAAAATGCAGCCCCATCTTCAGCATCTAGCAGAGGAGGCCAACATGTAACAGGTAAGTATTACATGTAGGAGGTGCTATAATCAAGGTATATGGAGGGTACAGAAACTGCCTTATTCGTTTTTTGTTTTTAAATTTTAGAGAGAGATAGAGAATGCACACGCAAGCAGAGGAGACAGGCAGAGAGAGAGAGAGAGAGAGAGAGAGAGAGAG